TATTTTAATGGTCGCCCTTCACGATGATATCGACTTAAATATTATTGTAAACTTGACGGGACCTCTATTCACTACTAGATGCTTTTCTTTAGCAGTCACCTGAACTTTAAAAGTTTGATCGAGATCTAGGTCAAATAACTCTTGAACATCCGTTTTAAATCGGCACCCTCGTCTTTAATCTATTTTTAAGTTGATCTTAACCTCAAAAACAGAATACGCTACATGTTTACTAGAAAGGTAGCATAAATTAAATGCGCTCCAAAACTTGGCGACTGATCCGACAACTGTTTCGCGCAACGTTGAGAAAAGTTGTCATTTGGCAGAAAATAAGTAAACTATTGCGTCTGCTGAACGCAGCCATTGGCATTCTACCCCACTCGTCATTGGGCTCACAGGGTTGCCATATCATAACCTGTCATTACTAGGGTTGCCACATTTCTGGAAGTGAAAAGAGTGGCAACCGTGACGATAGAGCACTTTTATATAATCAGGTCCAAATTTTGTGACCATTTCAAAAAAAAAGTCCTCAGCTTATTTTTCCTAAAACGAGTCGAACATTTTTGTATAATAAGGTCCTTTTTTTCTGAAAATTTCTAAAAAAAAGGTCCTCAACTTATTTTTTACATAATCGAGTCCATTTTTGTCACCATTTCTGAAAAAAAGGTCCCCCACTTATATTTCGTACAAACGAGGGTCTTTTACCTGGTCTATTTTGTATAAATCCGATTCCTCTGCAGCTTTTAAAAAGCGTGGAATTGGCAAAAAAAGCGTGCAGGCAAGTCAGAAAGCGTGGCTGCCACGCCAAAAGCGTGACGTCTGGTAACCCTAGTCATTACCCACGGGCAGCTATTTTGTTTGGAATGCTTGATATCTTTAAATCCAGAGCTGCTACTTGTGAGTAGTATATTTTTTATATAACCCAAATCCAAAAGCAAAAACGCATAAAAATTGAAATTGGGCAATCCATTATATACATTGTCGTATATTGGATTGCTTAAATACATGTCTTATTGTAGATATGAAAACATTTGAAGTAAAACGCATAAGAAAACGTAACTTTAGGAAGAATGTTTGATGAAATATTAATATGATACGAGTATTCGATAAAAGTAAAATGGGCAGCTTTCAAATTAGTTACAGAAACATTTCGAATGGTTCTGAATGTATTTAATTATTCAAAAAGGTGGTAGGAATATTTACCCACACGATAAAAAAAACCGTTACAAAATTCTATTTTTTTAATATTTTATTTGCGATAGGTAAATATTTATAAATCAAAAATATAAATTTTTTACTGTTAGTCAATAAGAGTTTAACATAAAATTATAAGTATATATAAATTATAAATTAGTGAAATTATCTATAAGTAAATTTCCACATAAATGTAAATGCTATGTAAACATATCTATTTTACACTGAGAAACAAATGTAGTTGTAATGTTTTATACAAAATGATAAACTACAATGCTTTGTTAATTTAAAAAACATGTTATCGGGGAATTCTACGCTAAACCAAATAAATTTAAAAAAAAATGAATAATATAGATATGTCATGTGATTATTGTAAAAACGCTAAAATTAATATAACTGACTGCTTTATATGTAAATTATATGAAAAAAAGCACGCCTCTTTTTAAATGTCAATACATGATTGTTGGATGTTTTTTAAGTTACCATCTTTTTATATATCAACAAGATACTCTAAACTTAATACAACAAACGGCACTAATTTTTGATATGTTAATTTTTTTGAAGTATTTTTTGACACGTTTTAGGCATTCCAACGACCTGTCAAAACGTTGACAAGTGAGAACTGACAGTTTAGATATGGCAACCCTGTGGGTCGTTTGCGAGTGGCTATATTGCCTCGCAAGTGCTCATTATTAAGAATCTGTTTAGCAAAAATGTGTTTACTTTCAGCCTTTGAATATAATAATAAAAAATAATTACCTACATTTTTACATCAAGGCATAAGTTTATGTTTATTTTGTAAAACATGGATGATCAGTCCATTGACCCTGTCAAATCTCCAAGCCTACAGGGTTGCCATATCAGGATCTGACAAAATCCACTGGTAGCCATTTTGTTTGGAATGCCTAATAGAGTCTTGTAGATAGTCGGTTCTTTCGTTCGTCCCACTGGTGTAATAATGAACTACACAAATGCACACTATACCTTACGGTTGGCCCGGTGTAAAATCCACTACATCTTCCTGTCGACGATGTGGTGTCCACTGGTGGATATTTTCTCTACCAGCTATTTAGCAGGAGTGAATTACACTTGGCACATGTACAAGGAATAAGAAGAAAGTAAACTAGGGTAAATAAGGTGGTGTAATTTACAGTGGTGCACACTGCACAATCTGTACCAACAGCGAACAAAAGAACCTAGTACAAATCAGGTCTTTTCTTTTGCATCGAAAGTGTAGCACTGAGCTAGACCACTTCTGAAAATATCGTTTCGTACATACAATTTGTATAAATGGAACGATATTTTCAAAAGTGGTGTAGTTCAGTGCTACACTTTCGATGCAAAGAAAAAGACCTATCTTGTTTTACTCGATATTTCTCATAATACCGACTTACTGAACGAAAATACCCTATATTTCGAAGCCTATAAAAGAGTTTTTAAGAATTTTAGAATTGTGACCTCCTAGCAAATAGGTCATTGAGATAGAATAAAGTGGAGATGCTATGACGATAAGAAAGTGTCCGCACCTTTGATGTACACTTTTACGTCATGTGTCAAAGTCGAGCTAGTGGAGCTAGTCAGTTTTGATGAGAATAAATGCCATTTTTTTAAATAACTTCATTTAAATGGTAAAAAAAAATTTTGATTTCGTTAATTTTCAAATATAGAATTAATGACTTCATTCTATTTCGATGAAATAGGTACTAAAATATATGTTCGGAGATAGTTACTAATTTCTTAATGATCTTATTACTTGTCATATTTCCTTTTTACCTCAATAACTCAAACTGCCGTATGTAGGTATATATCTTGATTTCAAAATATGTACTAAGAACCCTAGAAGTACCTTGGTACTTTGATATCTAAATAACAAAAAATCTAAAATTTCTAAAGTGCTATAGAAGGTGTGAAAGTATTTTTTATTTAATTCTAAAATAATGAATACCCCGGTAATTGAGAGCCTTATTAAAATTGTGATACAAATACTCTTCTTATGTTTTTAAAATAGATTTTAAGAATATGTTAAAATATGTAATGTAGTTGGTTGTAAAATCTGTTATTTTAGAAAGTATATTAAATAAAGATAAAAATGAGTCCAACGCTGAGTTTTTATTTTCGAATATTCCCAAATAGCTATTTATGTAACCAAATACGAAATGCCTTATTTTGTGTAACAAGTAAATATTTGAAAATTTGAAGAAAAATGTTTTTACTCGTTATCTTTAAAGGAGTACGTCAAAATTTTACCCTCAACATTTCTGGGCAGTTTTAAATAACGGCATTCAATTATTTAAAAAATAAAAAGCAAATTTACAGCTTTTATTTTTTTGTTATTGAACGTAATGTTAAATTTTCAAATGTGAAATGTCACTATTCATTGTTTTTTTTTTAGATTATATTGATAATAATATTGTAAGTAACTTTTATTTAAAGAATTTTCTTTTCCAAACGTAAATAACAGATATATTTCATAAAATATAATAAAAATGACCACCTATAAAGTACCCCCCCCCCCAAATGTTCCGACTCTGCCCATAATCTAATAAGTTTATTGGACGCCGCAATAAAGCTTAAGTTTAAAATTTGGTGTTTTTCTTTGTATCGGTTCATGAGTTATGGTGGATACAGACACACATAGACACACACACACGCACGCACGCACCCACCCACACACACACACACACACACACATCGCGAAAATAGTCAAAACGGATTCAGGGGACCCCAAAACGTAAAAATCCGTCGAAAACTGGAGGTCGAAAAAAATCATGATTCCTATACTTTCCTTATCTGTATACAGATAGGAAATTAAAAATCAAAAATAGCGATGATAGACCTCTTAAAATTAATATTAAGTGCTCAAATTTCACGAATTTTTTTTTTTTGTTATCCTTAATGACATTCTCAATATATTTAAAAAAAAATAGTCAATTTTTTTGGCCAGGCTTGTCAACATTCCTTGTAAATGACATTTAATAATAACATGCACGTAATGAGATATCAGTACATACACGTGCGTTTTGATAATAAAACTTAAATTTCTTGGTTTAATCAAATTTTGTCTACGTAAAACTTTATTTGGTCTATTTACATAAATTTGGTCATTTAAAAAACAAACACTTTTAGCATTAGCGAGATACATTTTGAATTAAAAGAGTGATGCCCCTAAATGTCGGCAACATATTATACAATTTTTCTAATAATATGTCGCGTTTTCTTAGCATGCTCTGGCAATAGACGTCATGCCATTTATATTGTCAATTTTTGTAACAAAATATGATTGTATTTGAACATTTTCTCAACTGTACCTACGAATGTGTTTGTTAGCAGTAAAACTGATGAAATTATGAGCAGCCGTCCACCGGAGATTTTAGAAAAAGCTCAAGCTGCCACACATAATTTGTTACCGCTAAAATCCAAAGAAAGGTACGTAATTACCTATCGAAAATTTATGGATTGGCAACACAAGCATAAAGTTAAATCCTTTTTAAGAATGTTTTAAGTAGGCGTAGAAAAATTATAGTACGTTACACGAGTTGTAAGCCCATTACGCACTCGTGAAATTTAAACTTTTTCACTTCGTGCGTAATGGGTTACTCACAACTCTTGTTACGTAATATTATACTATTGCATGTCAATGTTAGAAAAATATGTTTAGACCCATTCCATGTACCTAAATGCATACAGTGAACGTATATGGTAGAATAAATTCGACATTTTTCTGTCTAACATTATTTTAACAATCCCCAATTAAGTACTTTTGTTAATGCGCATCTATTACTCGCTTCACTTGTCGTATTTTACATATTTAGGTTTATTGAAATAAAAGAAATCACAATCACTAAACTAGACATTTCCTATTTTTTAACAAAATTACATTTCTGATATCTTTTGAATCCATTCGTAATACGTAGAAATTCTAGAATAAACATTTGGATGCATTTCGTTAGCAATTCCACATAAATCAGTGATAAAAGACGCAATACCAACTTGGACGTCGTCTACAATCAAGGCTGTACCAGAATCACCCTAAAAAAGGAAAAAATTGATGATTAGTCATAATAATATTTATATTAAATACTAGCGGGTCCAGTATGCAGACGTTGTCCTGCCAAATACAGTATAACTTCGATAGTTCGGACAGTCGCTAGACCGGACACTCCAGTAATCCGGGCACTGCTGTGATTCGGGCATTTTGACAATTTTGCCTCTGAAACAGCGAAAACATCACAAAATGGACTGTGGGAGAAGACGAGTTTGTTGTTGATTTAACTGAAGAACAGCTTAGCCAGGATGCAGTAGGGAGCAATATTGAACATACAAATGAATCTTCTGAATCAGAAGGTGATGTAAATATGGAGAAGGTGAAACATGCAGATGCTGTCAAAGCGTTTTCACTAGCTCTCAGGTGGACTGAGGAGAATAATCTTCCCCTTGAAGATGTATTGCTTTTGAGAAGGCTCAAAAACAAAGCAACTAATGTAGATGCATCGAAAAAGTCCAAACTACAATTAATAAGTTTTCAAAAAATTAGAAGATTTGCAAATTGCATATTTTACTTAGGAATTGTGTACAATTTTGTTTTAGATATTCTTTGAGAAGTATTGTTTTTTTTTTTGTTTTATTTTATGAGAAGTTTAATTTTTTTTGGTTGTGATTAATAAACCTTATTTTAGATCATATTTAAGTTGTTTTATTTCATAAATTCAAATTACTCCAGTAATCCGGACGCCTCAATAGTCCGGGCATGCCCCGGAACGATATCTGCCCGGACTACTGAAGTTATACTGTACATAGATAAATGAACTGGAGTGGGATAGAATGCCAATGTGCATGTTGTATTAATAGAACAAAGTGCGACTCTGTGGGCGCAGCCATTTTTATTGTTTATCTCACTCGGAAGAATTTATAATAACCATTTTTTGTTTCACATTATTATTATCCAGCCCACAAGCTGGTGGATCAGACAATAAAAATGTGAAATAGAAAATGGTTATTATAACTACTCCCGAGTGAGAAGAAAAATATCCTATCTGTGTCCATAGAGTCGCATCTCAAGCCTATTGACAAGCTTTCTACCCCACTCCAGTTCATTGACCTGGATCTCGACAACACCGCCACCTACCAGGTCTAAACTATAGCTACGAACTATCCTGGTGACCACACAAAAGTACAAAAAATCATCAAATTCGCTTGTAAAATTCTTGTTTGTTTGCTAGTGTTAAGAATAACCTTAACGAAAATATCAGAATCGCGGAAATGACACTCTAAACCCCCCTGTAACATTTACTTAAGTATCAATTTAGAGCAACGTTGGCAAAGTCAATAAAGTAAATAACTAGCCGTAATGGTTTTAAAACCACGACGACGACAGCAAAGTGATCGGAAGACTTGTCTCAGCCATGATAACATACACGTCGACAATTGGGTTAAACCCACGCTCTAATGGCGACCAAATCATAAATGTTCTGGTTACGAAATGTGTACATAGTGCAAATAATTAATAAAATGTAGTGAGGTGTTCTTCATGTAAAAATAAACACTGTTAAATGCAGATGTGCTTCTTTATCTCTATCATCGATGGTTAACCCAAACCCGGCAGCTTGTAAAAACATGAAATTACAGTCCACTTCAGAATCATAGCATAGTGTAAATATGTAAATGGTAAGATCCTTACAGGACTCACAACGGCTAGCAACATCAAACTTTCGGTCCTACTTTGCTTGTGTAGAAGTTAATATAGTAAATAGCGTTCTCACATCCAGGAAAAGAAACGACACAGTATCAACGTTGTCAGTAAGGTATCGGTAGCACGCTACCGATCTGTAACTCCAGTGTAGCCAGCAACGTCGATATAACTTTATTTGTTATTCTTCACATGCAAACGCCATTTATTATTCACTCCAACACAATGAAAGCAGTAAATAGGTGCCTATAAGGTGTGATCTCCATTAATTATCTTTAAAATAGGATTATATATATTAAAGTAACATAAATCTTACGTTGCATGCTCCCCCAACCATTGCTCCAAAACAAATATGATGCTTTATATCATATTTTCTGCCACATGTTTCGTCACTGTATATATCAACGTTCAGTTTTTGTAAATTTTTTGACAAAGGTCCGCCGTGCTGTAACAGAGTTTCTTGTTATTTTTGTCCTATTTTTATAAAATTGTCTAAACTTACGTATAATCTTCCCCAGCCTATAATAGTTCCGGTTTGCCTTTTTTCTGTCGGAAAATTTTTGGCTATCTTCACTGGCTTCCATTTTCCTTGTGGGATGGGAAATTCCAGCTAAAATATAAAGAAAAACAAATTTTTAAATGTTTTATTTCCGATTTCCTTACTTCACCTCTTTTAATCAAATGTTAACATTGTTAAAATTGATATGTCTGCATATAGTATTCTGCCTTTGAATATTGTAAATTTTTACTTCAAGGCATAAGCTTGTTTTAAAAACGTGAATGATCAATCTATAAAACTATCTATATCATTGACCCTGTCAAATCACCTGGCATGCAGGGGTTGACATATCATAACCTGTCATTACCCACGGTGGCCTTATCACGGTTGCTAAGGCCGCAATGACGTCACGGAACGAAAAAGTGAATTGAGTTCACAGAAAATATTCCGCTGCGGGTCGTACATTAGTTTTTTTAAAAAAATCTAATATTTTATTGATATTTAGTGGGGTTTATATTTTTATTTATAATAGTTTGATTTTTTGAAAGACGAGCTACGAAACAGCAAGGAAAAATCATGTATTGATTTCTATCAAATTTCAAATAAAAAACTTTTTAATTGAAATATAAAGAGAAATATTATTGTGTGAATGGTTTATTTTAAACATTTTGGGTTAGGGTACGGCCTCCGAGCTGAATTCGGATCACACTTTGTTTATATCCCGAAATATTTTGAAATTTTGGCCAGCCTAGAGCGAGCCGTAGGTGTTGCTGTAGCCAAACAATTTTTAATTTTCATACACACAAAAATCGTTACATGAAATAAAGAGACTGAGCCTAAACGAAAATTAAAGGCTAATGGTAAGATTTTAAAGTATTCTGAAAATATCATTCCACCCTTTATTTAAAAGCAGACGAGATGGTTTCGTACAAGCATTAAACACAAGGAAGAGCAAGAAAAGTCAAAGGGCTTTACTAAAAGAACCTACATTATTGAAAAAAGGGTTTGCTACAGGAAGTTCTTCACACCCTTCCTTAGCAACGGACGGAAGAAGCCACCATGTTGCCTACCAACCGTGGTCATTACCCACGTGCAGTATATTGACACGTCGTTTGAATGTTTTATTATCAAGGATTATATTTTATTCAGGATAAATTTACCACGAATTTTGAAAACAACACCCACGGGCAGCCATTTTGTTTGGAATACCTAATTAGTTTGACAGAAAAAAATAATAGTAATCAGGTAACCAAAATATGAACTGTGATTGGTGGATCTCATACTTATCTACACCCACATGGATATTAGCTATTGTTGACACTCATTTTTTTGTACGAATATTTGTCATCTTTTAAACTTACTTCTAATACAGCAGAATCGAAAATTAGTTTTTCAGAACTAAACTGATCGCAATGGATTTCTTTTACAGGCACTACATTTGTTGGCTCAGTAGTGATGGTCAATAAATCGTATTGTATGGAGAACAAAGAACTGTTTTGTGCCCTGAAATGAATGATTGTTAAAACATGTATTAATATGAGAATAATGTAATTTACTTTTGGTCTCGACAAACGCAATGGGCAGCTGTCAGGATGTATTTCTCGTTTAAAATGGTTCCACCGCATGTGTGACTGTTCATTCTCCTTAAGGATACCTAAAAAGTTACTTATGATTATTAAAAAAAAAAATAATCCTAAGCATTGAAATAGAATAAAGAAGAGATGCTATCACGATGCTAAAGTGACCGTACCTTTGCATTACATTTTTACGTCATCTGTCAAACTCAAAATAGTGAAGCTAGTCAGTTTTGGTGAGAATAAATGCCATCTTTTGTAAATAGCTTTATTTAAATGATATAAAATCATTTTCATTCCGTCTGTCTGTCTTCGAACATAAAATTATTGACTTCAAATAAATCAAATTTCGACTCATTACACTTTTCCGTCACTTGAAGTGCGTCCATCTGTCATATCGCAAAATAGTGTTTATGTCGTGTCTACTTTATTCTATATCGATGATCCGAACAAACATTTGCCATAACATTTTGAAACATAAATTAAACTAACTAATCACTTTAAATTTATTGTGGTTTATTACCCCCAACAACACTAAACCCAAATCCATTACTATGTTTAAAAATTTAATAATCTGACACCACAAACTGTATTCAATCAAAAGGAACAAGACTTCATGGTTATTAAAAAAAAAACTAAAGTAAAAATTGACAATCTGCAACTAGTTTGTAGGATGTTCTAACCTCCTTCAAAATTGCAGATGAATGCAGACGCAAAAAGTGAAAACACGTTTCTGTAATACCATGTTTCTCTTTTGCAACTGCAACTGATATTTGCAGATGCAAGTAGGATTTGCACAGCTTCTGTGTAATCTCACACTAATAAAACTATGAATTTGGCATGTAGCTAACTTCATACCAAATAACGGATAGTAGTTTGTAAATTTTACAGAATTTAAACAAGTAATACCAACCGCATATGGAAATTCTCCCTCCTCTGCGTCTGACCCATTTACCACTCTGCTGTTTGCTGAAAAGAAGCAGCATTTATAAAAATTGTTTGCACAAGAGCCATGCTGATTTTTTTATATGAATGAAGTAGGGTATTCCTCCTTAGAGTCAATTAGGCATTCCAACGACCTGTCAAACAATAGGTGCCAGTAGGAAATTCTTGTATATCTAAGGGGGTAGCGACATAATCTTGCAACTTGGACGCTATTTTTATTCGAAGTAGTAGTCGCCAAGCCTGCCAATTTATGAAGAAATGTATAGGTGGGTTTTTTAAATATTATTTTTATTGTGTTTGACATAAAATATTTAAATGTTATCCATTATTCATGATTTTACGTAAAGTAGATAGAATACACCGTATGTCGTCACCCTTATATATACCGAACTTTCCCACTGGCAATTCATTTGTTTGGAATGCCTAAATCAGCGCATAAATTATGATGTAAATAGGTAACAAAACAAAGTTGATTATAGACTAAATGCATATAGTTTTGCAACTGTTTTTCTTTCTTTTATTTTAGGTTTCAAAAAAATATTTAAAAAAAAAAAATTATAATAGAAGATACTTTCAGAATTCAAAATTGGCGGAAAGCCGAGTTAGGTCGGATACAGGAAAAAAGTATCCGAGTAGGTACCGGATAGGCGAATACTTTCAATGTATCCGGGTATTTACATTGTATCCGGATAGAGAGAGAGAGAGAGAGAGAGAGAATATATGTTTATTGTCCAAGTTAAAATACTTATTGACAAACACAATATTGTACAAATTACAAATAAATAAATAGTAATACAAACACAATATTGTATAAATAGTATACAAATTACAAATACATAAATAGTCATTAAAATATAAACAAACATTATTATAAATTAACATTAATACATACATCTAAAATAAAATAAAACAAAACAAAATAAAACACATATCACAGTGTCTCGTCATTATAAAATTCTATAATATTATAATAAGGCCTAGTTAACAGAAATCTCTTGAGCAGCTTTCTAAAACAATTCTGTGACTCAACATCTGTCAACGTATGCGATAGCCTATTGTACATTTTGATACCATTGTATATAAAAGAGTCTCTTATTAGTTCAGTTTTGGGAATAGGCAACTTCAAGTTACCCGTTTGGCGAGTTACACGGGATGTATTCGATTTATATTTCGACTTGTTCTTATGGATCATGCAACAAGTTTCTAAGATAAATAAAGATGTTAATGTTAATATTTCTTGTTTTAAGAACAGAGGTCTGCATAAAACTAATCTGTGTGCTCCACATAAGAACCTTATTGCCCGTTTCTGCATTAAAAAGACTCTGTCAAATAACTCGGCAGAACAGACTCCCCAAAACTGAACAGCATAACGTAGATGGGAGTCAACTAACGCATAATATGCAGTTTTTGCTGCACAAACTCCCAATTCATGAGAGGTGGTTCTAATGGCATAACAACCTGGTTCTAATGGCATAACAACATAACAACAGAAAATTTGCAATGCACCATGTTTTAAAGGATTTTAGGTCATTACTAATATTTGCATAAAGAATATTGACGTCTTTATTGTGCCACAAGATAGTAATATCGTTAGCAAATAGAGTGAAACTTCCTGAGATATTTAACTTACCTAAATCATTGATATAAATTAAAAACAGGGTGGGCCCAAGAACAGAACCTTGAGGGACACCCCATTTTATGTCACTTGTATTCGAGTCTGAAACAGTTCGGACTAACTGTTTGCGACCTAAAAGGTAGGATTTCATCCAACTCAAGGCCACATCTCTTATGCCATAAATTTCAAGCTTTTGCAGCAGTACTCCATGGTTGACACAGTCAAAAGCTTTAGTCAGATCACAAAATACTGCAGCTACGGCCTCGTTGAAATTTAAACTTGTATAAGCTAATTCCAAACAAGAAGAAACAGCGTCCGATACGTTTTTGTTGTGTTGAAAACAGAATTGATTTATGTCCAAAATATTATTTTGGTCTAGATATCTAACTAGTCGAGTTTTTACAAGTTTCTCAATAATTTTTCCGAGTGTCGGAATTAGAGATATGGGCCTAAAATTAGATGGCTCAGTCAAGTCTCCTCCCTTATATAATGGAACCACAACACTTGTTTTAAGAAAAGGAGGAAAAGTACCTTCAATAAAACTTTTATTTATTAAAATGGATAAAACGTCTAATGCAGAGATAGGTAAGTTTTGAAATATTTTTACTGACATTCCATCATGTCCTGATGCAGTTTTGTTGTGTATGTCATTACAAACTTTTAATATTTCTAAGGAATTTGTTTCTCTTAAGAAAAATGAATATTTAATTGGTGACGATTTTAGAAATTCTAATGGGTCAGTTGTTCTATTTAGATTTTTTGTTAGATTTTCAGCGATATTGCAATAAAATGTATTGAAATCGTTAGGATTTATATTTGCATTGCATGATTTATGGGTACTTTTGCCTCTCAATTCATTAATAATAGACCAAGTTTCCCTTGCCTTATTTTTTGAGCCCTCGATTCTTGTATGATAGTACATATCTTTAGCTTTTCTAATAAGTGTTCGATATAAAGATCTGTAGCGATAATAATAGTTTAAAAATAAATTATTTTGCGTTAATTTTTTTATATAGTTGAGAGATCTCATATTTTTTGATGAACATCTTAAACCAGCTGTAATCCACGGCTTTTTTGGCCTAATTTTTATTTTTTGAATAGGGAAAGACGCATTAAAAAATTTGCTTAAATTTAAATAAAAATCGTTAAAAGGAGATATACCAGTAAAGCAACTGTACCAATTAAAATGTTTACATACTAAATGAAATTTTCCATAATTAGATTTACTAAACAATCGACCATGACGAGAATTAGTCTTAGGAAGCTTATGCTCAAGAGATATCGAAGCTAAAACGGCTTCATGATCAGACAGACCGCTGGGATTCACTGTACACGATATATTAGCAGGTTCGTAAGACGTACAGAAATAGTCAAGTAACGTTTCGGTACATTCCGTTATCCTTGTTGCTTCCTTAACATGCATACTTAAGTTAAAGGAAATTAACAAATTTTTTAATCTAATAGTAATATTATCATCATCCTTGAGATAATCTATATTTAAGTCACCTGTTAAAACTATTTTAGATGTTGTAGAAAATCTACTTAGCAAAGATTCCAAATTGTTTAAAAAAACTGAAACATTTGAATTTGGTGATCTATAGATACAAACAACATAAATATTAAATTTAAGAATAGAAATAATGGAAAACTCAAATTGTTTTTCCTCTAAAACTTCAGGATATTCTACAATCTTAAATTCCAAAGTATGAAATATGGAATCATGTATTAAGATTGCTGTACCCCCGTGTTCATACAGTTCTCTGCAAAAAATAGTTATTAAGTTATAATTTGGAATAAATAAATGTTCATCTTTTTCAAGCCAATGTTCCGTTAATAATAAAATGTGAGGGAAACAGTAATCTTCTATTAATAAAAATAAATCATCAACTTTATTACGAACAGACCGAATATTTAAAAGTAAGAACGTTAAGGAGTCAACGGGATTAATGGATGGACTACATCTAAAAAAGAACTATTAGGTTCTCCTAAGTCAATAACAATAGGCTCAGTGTTTACTACATATTCAAATTCATTGTCATTTGGTAAAATAACTTTTAAAACTAAATTTTGGTTTATTTTCGTATTCTTATGTAAAAACTTATTTACCATTTCTCTAATTGACAATTTAATATTTGTCACATTAGGTACATATGTTATGGACGTATTTCTATTTATTAAGCAAAATTGATTAATTTTATTCCCAATAAAACTTTAAATTTTCTTATCATATTTGTGAACATTCTTAGAAAAAATAAATAGATTTGTTAATCTACCTAGTGGTAATAACTGAGCTAGAGCCTTACATAATGAAGTATAATTAGAAATATTCATTGTATTAACTAGTATAAAAAGAAAGTCATTTTTACCACACTTCTGAGAATATTCAAAAACTGAATCTATCAAAGTTTCAAAATTTATATTAGGTTTAGTAACACCTACCACTGAATATTCCGATGCATCAAGATATGAATTTAAATAATTAGATACATTTCTAGCTAATTCATCCCCTAATATTAACACATGTTTTTCAGCTTCTTTTTTCTCAGTATTTCTCAGTAATCGGGCAGTTCGAGCTGGATTATTTTCGATTTCGTAATTTTTTTCGTTACCATTTTAAATGTTTGGCCGATTATTTTCAATATTTTCTTGATTATTTTCGACGCTATTTTCAAGACTCCAAAATTCCATCCCAGATTTCTGCATTAAATTAACTTCGTAACTCTTGTTTTGTGATTCTAATATTCTGATTGTATCGATCATATTTCGATTTATTTCCTCTAATTCTATTAGCGACTTTCTTTCTGTATCTCTTCCTTTTTCATGTTTTATAATTTCATTCAATAATTGATCATTTAATATTTTCATATTTATATCATCCTGAAGTTTAGAGATAATGCTCATCTGATTTCTAATTTTATCAGTATAACCTTTTTCGGCTTCTTCAGCTTCGTCTTCGAAATCTAGCATGTTTTTTTTTAATTTTAACAGATGTGAGTTTCTCTGTTCAATATCTTCGTTCAGTCTATTAATTTCTAATTGTAATACTTTAGCATCATGGTCATAATTAAAATCTAGTTTTTCAAATTTCTCCTCTTCATTAGCTAATTTATTGTTCAATTTTTGAATTTCTTCTTTTAGTTTGATAAATTCTAAACCTTTGTCTTCTACAATTCGTTCACATGCCTTGTTACAATAAATTTTATTTTCAGATAAAGGTATGATTTTTTTAGTTTTAATGCAACTAGGATGAAAAATGGCGAAACAACAAATACACCAATAATAATGAGCATCTTTTTTGCAGCATTTAAATTTACCTTCCATAGCTTGTAATTGAATACTTATAGATGAATTCAACAAATCCAAATAAGTAAATTTAAAAGTTTCCTCCGCCACTGGGTCTCATTTATAC